AATGAATGTGAAAATACTTCTGGAACCAAGTGTACTGAAAAACTGGGCCAGCTCTGTTGAACTTTATGGAAGTACATATGACAAAAATAGGTGTTAAACACCGATTTAGGATGGGATTCCCCTCCTTTAAAGACAATTAAAAGAGGTAAGTTTGTATTAACCTACCAAAGAATTGTGCTTCAAACACATCCAGCAAAAACGCGAACTAATTGTAACCAGAACTTGTCTTCTTCACTCTGTAAACAACATTAGAGATATAATCAGTCAAAACAACGCTCTATTTTGACTGAACAAAGAGCTTGCCATCATTCAAATTAACAAGCAACGAATACCATTGTTCCTCTCCTGATGTTATCTCACCTTACTTCAAAAGTGTTCGATCACTAAGCAAAGCTTGTCGCTGATAGGCTGTCATTTCTCTGCTGTGTGTGAGGAGATGGAGATCTCTCGATGGGCTCTTGTAAATCAAACTCTTTTCAGGCAGAGAACTGAGCCATCCGTTCCAGTAGGAATCTCTTCGCTTAGTCTTCAGCGAGCAGATGGTTTATGGAAGCGTTTGATGGTTAGGTTCAGTATGTTTGGTTTGCCAGTTTTGATGAGCCACAATCAATGGATCGCTTGTGAGAAAAGAGCTTGTGTTTTTTTAGTCGCTGTTTTTGACAAGGGAATCTAAAAGTCTGTTTCATATCACGGCCGGCTCAATTGATGAAATATAAAAGATGTCACTCAAATCGAGAAATTCCACTAGTATTGAAATACTAGGATGGTTTATTTGGTTCCTAATTACACAGCACTGTGAACATAACGGGCCCAAGGGACGCCTCTACGACACATAGTTAAAATGAGCACAGTTACGAGCACTGAGATGGACAGAGGGCTAGTGCTAAATGACTAGGGAATATGACAGGGTTGAGGGGGATTAATTAGCTCTTCCTGCAGGCCGTGTGATTACCGCTGCTTGATTTCTTCAATCTGACAGAGGAAGTTTAAAACATACTGCAGGGAAACTCAAATTGCTTTGCTTAAAGACACTTTTAGACAAAAGCATGGAAAACCATCTGAACTGTGACAAGCTTATTAGGGACAGTCTAAATGGCCCTGGTGGCAATTTTAGAGGCAGTCCCTCAAACCCTCTAGTGCCCCCAATAGCTCAAAATGTCACTGTACACTAAAGTTTGAGGTTGGTAAGATTTTGTAATGTTTTTAAAAATCTCTTATACTCACCAAAGTTGCATATTTGAATACTGTAAAACAGTCATTTTATGAAATGTTTTCGATTTTAAGATATTTAAAAATGTAATGTATTCCTGTAATGGTAAAGCTGAATTTTCAGCATCATTACGCCAATCTTAAGTGTCCTTCAGAAATCATTCTAATATGCTGATTTGCTGCTCAAGAAACATTTCTAATTATTATTAATGTTGCAAAGAGTTGTGGAGCATTTTTGTGGTAATTGTGATACTTTTTCCAGAATTTTTGATGAATAGTTAAAAAAGCTGAAAAGTTCAAAAGAACAGAATTTATTTGAAATACAACCTTTTTGTCACATTTAGCAAATGAATGCATCCTTGCAGAATTAATATATATATCAAAATTTTAAAGACCCCAAACTTTTAAATGATATTATAGAATTCAGCTATTAACTGAACTGATAAACTAGAAAATATAGTTTTCGTCTTTTTCTAAAAAAAAAATACAAATTTATATACGTACTTTTTAACCACAAATGCTTATCCTGCACTACCTCTGCAACGCGCATGCACAACTTCATGCATTACAACGTAATCACGTTGGAAAGGTCACATGTGATTAGTTCTTTGTCTGTGTACTTCGGTTCAAAAAGGAAGGGTAGGGCGAAAAACTCCATCTCATTTTCCCCTCCAACTTCAAAATCATCCGACATCGTTGCTTTGTAAACACTGGGTCGGTACTTCTGCCTATATGTCACACGTGCGTGATTAAGCCGAGCTAGTACAAGATGAGCATTTGTGGTTAAAAAGTATATAAATTTGTATTTTTCTTAGAAAATGGCCAATTGTTTCCCTTATTCCTTGGCTTGGCCACCACTGAAGTCCACTATATGGAGGAAAATCCTGGACTGTTTTCCTCATAAACCTTAATTTCTTTTCAACTGAAGAAAGACATGAACATGGATGACATGGGGGTGAGTACATTTTTTTAGTAAATTTTCACTCTGGAAGTGAACTACTTTAAATCTGGTTATTTAAATTAATAATAATAATGAAATCAAACCAAAAAAAAATCTTTAAAACTGCAAGTGAGCGCTGCATGTGGCACTTTATCTGCATGTCACTTGTTTGCAGAGTCTGAGAAAGTACTCTACTCCATTACTTGAGTGAAAGTACAGATACTGCTGGTCAAACATTACTCCATTACAAGTAATTGTAGTTTAAACACAGAAGCAGCAACTGAATTGTGCTGGTGGGCCACTGATAACCTCATGGAGGGCTGGATTTGGGGCCGTGACAATGGTAGATGGGACAGAGGAAGGGAGGAAGAAGCAACGATAGAGGAAAAGAGATGACAAAGTTACGGTGGCCGAGAAGTGCAAAGCAAATCACAATTCTGAAAACAAAATAACAAATGACAAACACAAATGCAATGATGTTTTGCACTTCTCGGCCACCGTACAAAGTGCCTTTGACCTGTCATTTCCACTGTCATCAAATATCCTGAGCCCTCACTGTGACAACTCCAATCCTGTATTTGTGCAGAGAAGGATATCAATCAAACACCACAGGAACTCTTCAGGATCTACAACACTGTGCCTGTCACATACTAAAGTTTCACGATTTCACATACCACAGCAAAAACAAATATGCTTTAATGCAAACACCAAAAAGCTAATTTAAAACCATTTCAAGTGTTTCTCATTTAATTAAAAATGACTTTCTACAAGCTTTTACACTATCTATTTACTACTCTACACAAACCCATAGCACACGGCCATATGAACGCCTCTTCTAACACCTATATATCTCTAATATATAGTATACTGTATATTGATATGGACCCAGGTGAAAAATAAATATATTTAAATTGTGCTTTTTCAGACATACTTACTATATTTAAATTATACTATACTAAGTGCATATTAAATGTATTATTTTGAAACAACTTTAAGTATATTAAGTGTATTTCAAGATATATTTAAGTTTGATTTTAATCTATTTGTAATATATTTAATATATTGAAATTGTGTTAAATTGGAACCACTTTAACAATTCAATATATTTTTATTGCACTTCAAATAAGCATGTTGGGAATACAAATGTATTATAAACATACTACTTGAATTTCAAGTATATTTTTAATACATTTAATACTACGTCTTTTTCACCTGGGGAATCACTGAGAGAGAGAGCTTAAACAGTTAGACGTGACCCAATGACTACATTGACACTAATGGGTTGCTGGACCACTGAAGCGCTGGTATCTTCAATAGACACAATCGCACACACAGACAGAACTGTCCCAGCTGAGAGGAAGTGAGTTGATAATAGCACAATGTTTTCTTCTCCCGGAGTCAATAGTACAAACATGTATCATTTTTTCATCTTGTCAGAGCTCTGGATTCTGAACACAGTCTCCATCTGTCATGTATAATTTCATTGTCCTGTTCAGTCAATTAGGTAAGTGACTGACAGTGTGATTTTTTGAGGCCAACCTTGGCTCTGGCACATTACTAATGCTTGAAACCATGACCTTAAGATCTAAATTGGCTGCAATATCTCATGATGGCTTGATGGAAAATATAGCATTAGTAAATGCACTAATGATGGTCCCTGTATTCACAATTCGTCAAATGAGTCTAAGGTCATGGTCTGATGTCAGACAAACAAACTATAACATCTGCTTATCTTCATTTATTGAATATGTTTTTTCTGCATTTGTTAAATAGGACAAAACCAAAAATATATGCTACCATTCAAAAGATTGCGGTCACTAAGGTTTTTTTTTTAAGGAATCGAAAAAATGTGAATTTAGAAGTTTATACAGTTACAAAACATTTCTATTTCAAATAAATGCTGTTTTTTAACTTTCTATTTATCAAAAAATTTATCAATTTACACAAAAATATTAAACTCTTTTCAACAATAAGAAAAAATGTTTCTTGAGCACCAAATCAGCAAATTAGAATGATTTCTGAAGGATCATATGACACTGAAGGCTACTGAAAATTCACAGTAATAAATGACATGTAAAATGCATTTAAATATAAAACTGTTATGTAAAATTGCACTAATATTTCATAATATTACTGTTTTTACAGTATTTTTTATTCAATAAATGCAGCCTTAGTGAGTATAAGAGACTTATCTAAAAAAACATTTAAAAAATCTCACGACCCCAAACTTTGAAAAAACTAAGCTGCAAAAGATGGCCATTCCGAACCGAGAGCACATTAATTTAAAACAGAGAGAGCAGTGTTGCCAGATCTCACTAGAAAAATGAGTAAAAAAAAAAAAAAACTGGCTCAAATTAAGTGGCTTTCCACACCAAAAATAGTCTAATGAATATGTATTTAAATAAAAGTGCTTAATTTCATTAATCTTATTGCAGCATAAATTTGCATAACATATATGATCAAAAAAGCCACAGATAAAATGTCTTGCATTAATTAATAAATGTCATTTAATTTAAATGTCTCACGACTGCATTCTGGAAATAATCCTCTTTTTTCCCTCTTTTTTTTTTTTTTAGGAAATATCCTTACATTTTACTTATAAGCATTTTTTTATATCACTGAAAAAACAAGCCCAAAATCATTTATTCTAAGGGAATAGGGCAACACAGCATATGACATATGTAGTATTAATCAACATGTACTGCCCCGATGAAGGCCATAACAAAGATTGAGAGAAATGGCGAAAAACAAATAACAGCTGTTTTTGGTACAAGAAAGTTTTTTTTTTTGTTAACTAGACATCTGGGGGACAAACCGTTAATATTCCTAAAGTAGAGATGTGTTTGCTCACCTTATACTTGCTGCTGTCCTGTACGGGGTCTCCCTCCCTGAGCCAGCTGACTGAAGGTTTGGGATTCCCGAAGGCTGTGCAGCTCAGAGTGATGCTGCCCCCCTCTTTGGCCTCCACATACTGCGGCGGTGTGTCCGTGAAAGTTGGGGGAGCTGTGACACAGAGAAACGATGTGAAAATTCCCTATCTGTTCTCCATTATTCCCTTAAATAAATCAGCCTGGAGATAACACGGCAGGTATTATGTCCTATGATATACATGTCTTTTACAGACCCTGTTGAAGTATAACTCAAGCCTCATCGCTAATGGGAGCCATAGGAGTTCAGAAGGCCATCGGAGCTGTTAGCTCGTACCTGTGAATAAGAGGGACTTCCTGGTCATGGATCTGCCTCCTGCATATATATGCGCTCATTTATGAGCTCTTAGTATACAGTATATGAGCTCTCTGGCTGGCATCTCTCTGATTGTTAATAATTCTGCTCCTGCTTCACGGCCAGTTGATTTAGGAGCTAAAATCTCCCTTTCATTATCTATAAATCAGGATGGGGAAGGGGTGGCCATGCCATCACGTTCGTGGGCTGGACAGCACAGCACTGAATGACAGGACAAGTACAATTCAATAGTTCTTCACAGTTTTGCTGTAATGTATGAAAGGTTTGAAATTAATTCTTTGCCACAACTGCTAATGGTGGATGAACAGAGAACAGCTATGATTACTCTAAATAAATAAATAAAACCACATAATTGCAAATAAATTAATAAAACGCACAGCAATAAAGCACTTTTACATTTATATCACATAACAACTTTGCATAAATATAAATTTTATTAAAATATTAAATATACTTAATGCATGCATTTTTTATTGTAGAATGAATATTTGTATTATATTTTTTTATTTTATATATATATATATATATATATAAACACATACATACATACACTTAAAGAGTTTTTATTATTAATACAAATTATTTAATATATAAATTTTAATATTACAAATAATTTAAACAATTATACACATATATTATAAAGCTCAGATAATAGGCTATCAGACATAAATATGGAGTAAAGCAAGCATGAAGTGGCACCATACCCATTTTTTGTGAGATTGTCTCCTCTGGTTACAGTGTGCAGCTCAACGCATCTCCTGTGTGTGATAACTTGAAATGGGTCTAGTTTTGTGACACTCGAGGGGGAATTATGTTGTGCTACATTATATTTTATTCAAAACCATCAAAATAGTGGCTTGTGGCATTATTGGTCATATTTCTTATTGTGTCTCTTGAAATTAATTTGGTGGTTACTCAATTATTTCTAGGCATAATGATAGACGTTTGAGCAGAGGATGACAAAGGAACACTAGGGAGAAGTGTTTTTTGTCTCAATCATGTTCAAATATTTAAGACAGCACTGAGACAAGAGGGTCACACATTACCACATAGATCACAGGAACATCTTGCTCTCAAGGAACACAGAAGATATGGGTTTAGCGATATCTCTGCACTTACAGAGACCTGGACTGAGCCTTCTCAAGCCAAGCATCTATTATACATGGCTCTAAATGTCACTGTCTGTGAAACCACCTCGATTCAGCCTTATTGATTTGAACTGGTCTGATTATAATGCTAATTTTCATACCTTGTTTTGCCATTTTCAGCACTGCTTTATTCTGCTTAATTAAAACTTAAGTGTTTTCAGTTTTTTGAAGGAACCCCCAAGATCTGATGGTACATGACCAGAGTGCTGAAGGCAACATTTCTGAGGCGAGCCGCTAAGACATCTGTGCAAAACACGCCTCCATCTGCTGCGAGTCTCCATTTACTGCCTTACACACTCTGACACACTGCTGACCTGTGATGTTGATTAAACATAAACACACACACACACACACACACACACACACACACACACACACACACACACACACAC